TTTCAAAATTTCACAAAGCGTTTTGAGATTATTTTGAATGAAATATTGAAGTTTATAATTAAGTGTTTTAGCAGACCACGCTGAGTGGCCCTATGCATTTTTCTAAAGTCGGGTTTTATTCGAACTTTTGCTAACGACAAAAACAGTTTATCTGTCGTCTCTGTCTCCGGGAACTGCGCGTCACAAAAATGAACCGAAAGCCACTTCAGCTCAGTCACTATAAGAAATCGGCTCTGTCTAAAGCCTTTAAATGTCTAAATATTCTGGCTAATAAATGTTATCTGATTATGTAATCCATATGAAAACGAGAGGTACAGAGGATGTACTCAAACATGTAGCCTGTAAGCGCTTCCCAATGAGAAAATGACAAGACAAGGGTGAAAATCTCGCTCTAATTAAATGTAGCAGGCTAAATCGCCCTGAATTAAAATGTAAAAACAGATCAAATAATGCATTTGTCGAAATGTTGCGATATTGTTTCATTTAAGTTCATAATTATTCAATACATGTTATTTAATTTAGCAGCATTACCACGAAGCACCGTGGTTCGATATTTATTTGAATAAAAAATAAAAATAAAAAAACTTAATTCACAAATTGCATGCCTGGTTGAAAGGATCCAAAGATCCCTGTAGACTTTAATATTGAGTTGAACATTTTGTTCATGAAAACAAATTAACATGCGTTTTTTCAGATTATATTTAGTTTTGCTTGGAAAAAGCTGGCCCAAACCAGTTTTATTTCATCAATTACTGAAATAATTAAATATTTAGTAATAAGCTTTTATGACAGAAATATCACTAGGCTACATGTAACTTAAATCATTTAATTCCTTCATTATCAACACTGTCTAGAATAGCGATTTAAGTGTGAATTGTGACTTCTCTTTGTGTTAAATCAGCCTCAGACTCCAATAGCCGGTGGGGGGTTGGAGGGACAGTTCAGTGCTGTATCGTGCGCGCAAGGACAATAGGCCTAGGTGTTAATGTTCCTCTTTCATATGGAGAGCGAGGGAGACTAAATAAACTTGTTAAAAAGAGATTCAGCGCGAGAGAGGCAAAGAAAAACGCATGTTTTAATTTAATTATGTTGCTTTGGACAATTTTCGTTTTGTAGGCCTACTGTTTTAATTGTTTAATATAGCTGTCATTTCTTTGGCAATACAAATTTAAAATGTCGCAAGAATAAGATTAGCCTAGTGTTTCTTATTTTGCATCGCAAAAGAAATAAACTCTAAACCCGATGCAACCCTGTTTTAAATAAAAAAAACTGTCCCGACACTTTATTTAAACCTTGAAATGTTCGAACTTGGTTTCAAACTTAAGTAATTTTAGTGTTCTTTTACATTACACAATAATTTAGCAGACTAAAGACGTGCTTCTTCATTTTCATTTTCTGATGCAATCGGCTGACAATCTTCCTTCATCAGTTTTTGTCCTTTGTGCAGCGGCTGCGGTTCCAGGAATGTAGCAAATTTATGTTGTAATAATAATTAAACAAAACTCTTGACTTTAAATAAGTAAACAGTTATAAACAGTTAGCTATTTAAGCATCAAGAAGGTAAAACATAAACGCTGTAGGGCAACATCGGTTAACAACATGTATGCTACATTGAGATTCGATCCGAGTCGATTGAAGCTCCTCGAAGCTCGTGTTGTTGCGTTAACCACTGAGCTATCGTCTATACGTCTGTGACTGTTTTTATTGCAATGTTTTACTTTTTCATTATTTATTCAATTTCATTTCAGTAGCCTAATTTCAGTATTGTGATTATGAATTATTTTAACTACGTTTCACTTGTTGAATTCATCTGCTACCAGCTTTCAAACGCTCTGAATCAGTGCGGTGCGGCAGCAGATTACGCATTAGAGAGAATAAACAAACACTTTTCAGAGTCTATGATTGTAGCGCCTCTTGGCGGTAAAAGGCAGCAAATACACCCCACATTTTACCGCCGCGGTGGAACGGCTGATGTGGGCATTGTCATGGCTTGCCTCGACATTTGCGTTTGAATAGCGCGCGTCCTCCGTGGGCGTGTCAGATTAACGCGTAATGAAGTGTAATGAGCTGGGGAAAAAAAATCTGACAGCACTCTCTTTTCATACAGATTACATAAACTGAGAATATTTGTTTTTTATATAAATTACATCATTAAAAAGAAGAGAATTCAAGCTTCATAAAGAAAAACCTCTCGTGCCTGTATGACAAGTATTTGCAGAGTTAGAGTTAATTTTTCGGACGTGTTTCAGAATGGACTGCACTGACAGAGAGAAGGCAAAACTCGCATCATGTTTATTTTTCTTTATTTGACAAAAAGCACAAAACTTTGTTTTTATTGTGAGTATACAGAAAAATAATAGACAATTAACAGGATCGATTGATGTATAACACTTATATGTACGATCAAAATCAACAGAGTATTTTAAGTCTATTTTTCTGCTATGTGAAAAAAAAACGGCAAAACGCGCGGGCGCGTTTCTGGTCCCCAGAGGGTTAAATG